ACACATCACCACCCTCTTTGCTTTGGTTTTGTTTGTTTAATATTTATTTATTTATTTTGCAGTGCTGAGGTTTGAATTCAGGGCCTACACCTTGAGCCACTCCATCAGTCCTTTTTTGTGAAGGGTTTTTTCAAGATAGGGTCTTGTGAACTATTTGCCCAGGCTGGCTTCGAACCGTGATCCTCCTGATGTCTGCCTCCTGAGTAACTAGATTATAGATGTGAACCACTGGCACCTGGCTGCTTTGGTTATTTTTAAGATAGGGTCTTGCTTTATGCCATGGAGGGCCTGGACCTCAATCCTGTTTGTGCTTCCCCACGTAGTTGGGTAACAAGGTGCACACTACTATGCCCAGCCATTGGTTGTGATGTGATCTTGCTAACTTTTTGCCTAGGGCTGACTTTGAACCTCAATTCTCCCAGTCTCTTTTTCCCAAATAGCAAGGATTATAGGCCTGAGCTTGTGTCAGGCTGAAGAAAACCTTTGAGCGATAATAGAAGCCAAACTATAAAGGACAAATTTAGTGAACAAGCTAAACTGGTAAAAATCTGAGGTTGGGAGTATGGGTCAGTGATAAAGCACTTCCCCAGCAAATTTGTGGCCCTGGGTTCAATCCCAGTACATACACAAAAAAAGCCTGAACCCAGACAAGGTACCACATATCTATAGTCCCAGCACCTGGGAGACTGAGTCAGGAGAATTACTTGAGCATTAAGATTGTAAAACTAGCCTGGCAACAAAGCAAAGCCCTTTCTTAAATTTTTTTTAAAAAGCTATAGCAAAGGGAAGATTACAGATGGAGTGATAGCAAAGAAGGGAAACAAGCTTTTGTTTTTACTGTTTTCACCAAGTATAAAGGCAACTTTAAAAAAAATCTTAAACTGGGCGCTTGTGGCTCACGCCTGTAATCCTAGCTACTCAGGAGGCAGAGATTAGGAGGATCACGGTTTGAAGCCAGCCTACGCAAACAGTTCTAGAGACCCTATCTCGAAAAACCCATCACAAAAATTGTGCTGGTGGTAAAGACCCTGAGTTCAAGCACCAGTACCACAAAAAAATCCTAAATGATCCTGCAACAGTTTTAAACAAGTCAATTCAGTTCCTCTACCCATCTTGCCATGAAGTTAGTCAACACCAAGATATCCATTCTTTCCTTGGCATGGTAGAAAAATAAACCTGAAATGTGGGCTTCCAGATGAGGTATTTTAATACAGCAGTCCCCCCCCTTATCCGTTTTCCCTTATTTCAGTTATTCATGATGAACTATGATCCAAAATAGGTATCATTAGAAGGTCAAGGGGTGGTGCACACCTGTAATCCCACCCCTCCTTGAGGCTGAGACAGAGAACTGCATGTTCTAGGCCAGCCTGGGTTGCACAGTAAAGAACTGGTCAAAAAAAACCCCACAAAATCTGGCTTTAGAGAGTGACTTCCCCAGATACTAGATGTATGTTCTTCAATCTAACACTCTCCCACCTCAGCTATCTTGGTTATTTCATTAGCTATATGTTCTAAGGCAGGTCACTTATCCGAAATAAGACTCCCCTGGTTTAAAAGACTCCCCTTACTCTAACATTCTCTGAGTCTTGCCCTATATCATTTACAAGACTATTGTAATGATCAAACAAGGTACTACATGTCAAAGCAGAACACATTAGAAAGAGCATAGAACACATGTCACTTTAAGTTGAACAGACCGGGGTTCAAGATCTGACTCTACTAACAAAAATCTGTGACCTCAGGCAAATTACTTCACCCTTCTGAGGTTGCTTCAATCAATCTTGAGTGACAGGTTACTGTGAGAATTAAGTGAAATAACCTAACTTTAAATCCCTTCTGGAACAAGAAGACATATGATTTTATAAATAAAATAACATTGACATAATTATATATAGAATCTGCTTCTTTATAAGTAGGTGCTCAAAAAAATGTCAATTATTTTAAAAGTCACCTTGCGGGCTGGAGGCATGGCTCAAGTGGTACACCATCTGCCTAGCAAGCCCAAAGCTCTAAGTTCAAACTCCAGTATTGCCAAAAATAATAATAATAATAATAAAATAAAAGTCACTTTGAACTCTAAGATGCTATACAATTCTTAATGTATTCTTATTTATCTATGACCTGGAGCCCTACACATAGTTGGGCAGTCTCAAATCCCACATTCTCATACAACACTCATTTGCTTCTAAAATAATATTTCTTAGGGAAAAATAGGAAAGAAAGAAGGGTAAAGGTAAAGAAAAGTTTACAGAGTGGAGGTGATAGATGTGATTAAAAGGACAAAAAAAGGAACTTATTTGGCATTTGAAACTATGAGTGTTCAGAGTCCTGAATGTTTGTCAGGCTAGAAGTTAAAGAAATGAGCCAAGCATGGTGACCTACACCTCTAAAGCCAGGGGAAGGTGGGAGAATCTTGAATCTGAAGCCAGTATGGGATACATAGTGAGTTTCGGCCAGACAGGATTACATAGCAAGAACCTCTCTCAAAAAAAAAAGAAAGAAAGAAATGCAATCACCGTCTTGTCTCTGTCTGGCAACAGTGCCCAGGGCACTTCCCTCCCAGAAAATTTGACTTTACTGTGTCATCTACAGAAAAACAAACAAATGACAATCACCACTTGGTTTCCTATTGGCACTGGGATGAACAGGCCTGAGAAGGCAGGTAAAAGATGACCTAACTTGCAAAACTCCTGGACTTAGTCCTACTTTACTACTTTTCCTGGGCCAGCCCTTTCCCCATACACCACAAATATTTGTACTCTGTTTTCAAGACAGTTTACAAGACTTTTTGCCTTCCTTCGACCCAAGAACTGTGAAGGAAGATTGGGGGGGAGGGGAGAGGGGGAGCAGATTTTTAGCAGCATACCAGGTGAAAGGTTATAAACAACTCTGTCCAGGAGGCCTCCATTTCAGAACATGCCTTGGCTACAGGCCTGGCAGCAGCTGCTGCCAAGGTTAAACAGTTTTTTGGCTTCAAGAGAACTAAGCATACTGGACAGCAAGCAAGTGGTCTGTACTGAGCTGTGCAAAATGGGAATTAAAAACTGGAGCTAACAGAGAGCTATAACAGGATTATTAAAAACTCAAAATTTTCAGCACTCCATAGATGTCTTCAAATAAATATGACATTTTAAAATGTACTCATTGCTTATCTGAAAAAAACTCAGCATTCCTTTTTTCTAAGATATCCCAAATCAACACTCCCCTGATCCATTATCATCTGAGTTTCCTCCCATTCTCTCAAAATTTATGTAGCTAGGAACCACACTGTTTAACAATGTTGATTCACGTAAACAGTAACCAATTTGATGTTACCTATCAAACTAAATATTCTCCCAGATGCCACAATTCTGAACTTGTAAAATCACTTTAGTGAGAGTCCCACCTTTCCAGCTCCTAATAACTCAATCAACATTGTTATCAATTGAAAACACCTCAAGCCTAGCTGGTTAGTTTTCCAGAACAGGGCACTGCCTCAAACCCACACACCCTAAGGATCAACATGTTCCTGAGTGTTAGTGTTGTGTGTGTTTTCCAACTAAGTCGTGATGCCCAATTCTGAACTTGCTTAATACTCGAGTTCACTTGTAATTTGTTGGCCTTAGGGAATCAATCCAGTTAGGGTGTAGAACGAAGGATTTTTTTTTTTTTTTGGCTGAGAAGGTATGATTTTTATACACTCAAAGGCTTCTTATGTCCCCATCTCAAACTCCAGGACAGAAGGAATGAGGTAATAATCTCCTAACATCTCACACAGACTTGGCAGGGGTCTAGGAATCAAAGAAAGGAGAGCAGATTCCTTCCTACTTTGCAGCCGGTTTTTCCGAATAATTTTAGAAATAATTTCTCAGGAGTCAGCTCCTAAGGCACCTTGCAGTCTGCAGTAAAAACCAGATAGCCAAAGGAGACCAATGCAACTTGAAGACGTTCAGGAGTTGTGGCTGTCTATTTGATTGATTGAGTTTGAAGGGAGGATAAAGACAAGAAAATGAAAGTAACTCAGGAAGAAGGTGAAAAGGGCGACCCATATTCTTTTCTTCCTCTCTATCCCTTTCTTCCGGTCTGGTTTGTTAATTTGATTTTTGTTATTCCTTTTCTTTTTCTTTCCTGGAGAAGCTGTAGAGAGACAACGTCAGAATCTAATAGACACACTCACTAAAAAGGCAATGAGGTAAACGGGGAATACACACAAAGTGTTCCCCAACTTTGTAGATAGACACAGAGATGATGGTAGCAACAGGATGTGGACACTCCCTGACAATTTCCGTTCCAGAGCACAGAAGAGGAGGTTGGGGTGCGGGGGTGCGGGGGTGCGGGGGTAGGGGAGAGGAACAGTCTCGGAGTCGCAGGGGGAGGGTCCCATACACCGGCTTCCCAAAGACAGAAAAGGATTAAAATGTGTGACCAGTTTTCCTGCCCCTCAGAAATAACGTTTTGTTTTTAAATAGAGGTACAGGGCAAGAAGCGCACCAAGGGGAGCTTCTGAACACTAACACCTGCAGTTACTGCCCTTTGCCCCAGTTCTGAAGTATTCCTGGAGCTGTGGGACTGTTTTTCACAGACCTAGCGACTTGTGAGCCAGAATAAACGGTTGCCTCTAAATTACCCTAGATAAAACCAGGCATGAATTCCCTCATAAGCACTTTTTCCTTTTACCGTTGAAAAACCCCACCGCTCCCAGACCAGAAGCATCCAACCCACCACTTGCCCGGGACGGAGTTCAGAGTCGTGGGGACTCCACTTTCGTGCCCGGGGAGCAGCCACTCGCTGCCCCACTCCACTCCCTCCTCCCTGCGACGCGGCGCACCCGGGCACAGCAACCATTCTCCCCGCCAGGAGCACACAGTGTCCACGAGCCTCGGCGACCCCGCTGATTGGTCGGGCTCCTGGTAAACAAGGGCCAAGCAGCCAATGGGAGTGCTGTGCACGAGGGCAGCACGAGCCTCCGGGCCTGGGCTCGCGTGGCTGTCCCGGCTTGCTTACTATAAAGAGCAGTTTCCGGCTCCCGCTGGAAACTCTGCGCTTGTCTTTTCGGTAGGGAAGCTCGTAGCCTTCTTCCGAGATCCAGGCTCTCCGGCAGCTTAGGGGGAAGAAAAGAAGAAAGGAAAGAGCTTATATTTTTTTTCACTTTGAGAACGAGAAGCTTAGGTTTTCAGGCACCTTTTGAAAACAATTGTTTAGAGTTCTTTGTGGGCTTTTTTATATTTTATTTTGTTTCTAAAGTTTTACCTGCTTAAGGTCACCTTTATTCCTTAGGAAGAGCGAAATCTTAATTTTCTGTAAAGAGTCCTTAGGTTTGGGGTCTTGTTTTTTCCCCGTCCGGCCGTGTCTGACTTTTGAGCCAGCTCAGTCCGATCATGGTGATGATGTTCAAGAAGATAAAGTCTTTCGAGGTGTTATTTAACGACCCCGAGAAGGTGTATGGTAGCGGGGAGAAGGTGGCTGGCCGGGTGATAGTGGAGGTGTGCGAAGTGACTCGGGTCAAAGCCGTCAGGATCCTGGCCTGCGGAGTGGCCAAAGTCCTCTGGATGCAGGGATCCCAGCAGTGCAAACAGACCTTGGATTATCTGCGCTACGAAGACACGCTTCTCCTGGAAGAGCAGCCCACAGGTAGGTGGTCCTGTTTTCATTGTTGGAGGGTGACAGCTGACCAGGGAATCCAAAGCAGCAAGAGCAGCCTCTACTAAATGTTTTACGTTGCTCAGTTTCAGTGGCTTGAACTCTTGTGTTACTTCCTATTTTGTCATTTGCCAATGCTTCCCAACACCGCCCCCAAACGTGATTTATACAATTTCTTACGGTGCTGTGTTCTCTAAGCGATCTTGAGGGGTGTCTCCTTAGCTATTGTAATGATTTCTGTGTGCATACGTTGCTTATTCTTTGCTTGAGTCTTGGGGTAACTACTGGGTGAGCCTTTCAACGTGGCAGGACTTGGCAACTTTCTGCATCCCCCCCCCCAAAAAAACACTAGAGTCTTTGATTCAAATGCATAAGGGATGACAATGGGGAACTAAAATATCCTTGCATGACGCCCAAGCATTCATCACACCAGTGTCTTGTAAGTGTGACACCAAACCTAATGATAACTTGCCTTTCCCTTCAGGTGAGAATGAGATGGTGATCATGAGACCTGGAAACAAATACGAGTACAAGTTTGGCTTTGAGCTTCCTCAGGGGTAGGTAACAGCAAAATTTGTCTTTGGATTCTTCTATCTAAAAATCTTACCCTCTGGTCATTTACATTCTTGGAAACTTTTTTTTTTTTTCTCTTTTTGTACAGGCCTCTGGGAACATCTTTCAAAGGAAAATATGGCTGTGTAGACTACTGGGTGAAGGCTTTTCTTGATCGTCCCAGCCAGCCAACTCAAGAGACAAAGAAAAACTTTGAAGTGATGGATCTGGTGGATGTCAATACTCCTGATCTAATGGTGAGGTTTATTTTAAGATTCTGTTCTCCTTGGTCTCAGGATAATAGATTAGATGTCTTGTCATTAGATCGAAACATCTCACAACGCTCTTTTTTCCCCTTTCTACATAGGCACCAGTGTCTGCTAAAAAGGAGAAGAAAGTTTCCTGCATGTTCATTCCTGATGGGCGGGTGTCTGTTTCTGCTCGAATTGAAAGAAAAGGATTCTGTGAAGGTAAAATCGTATGCTCAAAATGCTAGACAGATAACAGGAAATGTAGCTGGGGGGGGGTAAGGGAATGGGGTGGGGAAAGGAGTTGTCATTAATTGTACTGAGTATCCATTAATATGTTTTCATCTTTCTCATAACTAGGTGATGACATCTCTATCCATGCTGACTTTGAGAACACATGTTCCCGAATTGTTGTTCCCAAAGCAGCCATTGTGGCCCGACACACTTACCTTGCTAATGGCCAGACCAAGGTGTTGACTCAGAAGTTGTCATCAGTCAGAGGAAATCATATTATCTCTGGGTCTTGTGCGTCTTGGCGTGGCAAGAGCCTTCGGGTGCAGAAGATCAGGCCATCCATCCTGGGCTGCAACATCCTCAGAGTTGAATATTCCTTGCTGGTGAGTGAGTGGGGTTGGCTCTGGCAGAGAACTATCTGTGACAACAGTGGTATTATATCCAGACCTCTCATCTAACAAACTGCCATCTGTGTCCCTTTCTAGATCTATGTTAGTGTCCCTGGCTCAAAGAAAGTCATCCTTGACCTACCCCTGGTAATTGGCAGCAGGTCAGGTCTTAGCAGCCGGACATCAAGTATGGCCAGCCGAACCAGCTCCGAAATGAGTTGGATAGATCTAAACATCCCAGATACCCCAGAAGGTGAGCCAGACCTAGTGGTTTTTCACCTTCTGTATTGGTTGGGCTTGTAAAACTGTGATAGCCTGGCATTTCTTGGCTAGACTTCTTATACCCTGTTTTCTCTTTGTAGCTCCTCCTTGCTATATGGATATCATTCCTGAAGATCATCGATTGGAGAGCCCCACCACTCCTCTGCTTGATGACGTGGATGGCTCTCAAGACAGCCCTATCTTTATGTATGCTCCTGAGTTCAAGTTCATGCCACCACCCACATATACTGAGGTGAGAATTATCATCTTTACTATTAAAATTTGTCCTAAGCCTTTTATAGGACGTTGACTTGGAGGGATTGCTAAACTAGGTTGTTGTTTTGTTCTTACACTAACATGGTCTTTCTTTCTTTTAGGTGGATCCTTGCATCCTCAACAACAATGTGCAGTGAGCATATGGAAGAAAAGAAGCAGCAGTACTTAACTTGCTTCTTTCTGCCTCTCTCCTGGACTCTCTCATGTTTTCAGAGATTCAGCAGTCTCTACAGTGGGGTATGGGTCCACCCCAGCCTCTGACTCCCCAGTGTAGGTGATGATCAGAAGGCAGTCCTCAAGCCTGAACCAGTACGGATTCGTCCTCAGCCGGTGCGAATGGTGTGATATAGGAGTGTTTGCTGGATGGGTTTAAAAACACACTAGGATAATTCAGGCCCATCTCATTTTCTCAGATTTCCTTGGAAATTGAGGTGTTTTAGTAGTTTTGGGGTAGAAATGGCCTCCTGCCATGGTTTTCCCAAGGTTTTGTTTTTTTGTTTTTTTTAAAGGGAATTATAGATTGTTATATCAACATCAAACTTTGAAATGATGTGTCATATGAAACAGAACCAATTTAACAAACTAGGAAAAGGAAGACCTAGGCCAATATTTGGGAAAAGAGGTTTTAAAAATCAGTGTTCCCTTTTGTCCACTCCCAGAAAAAAGAAAAAAAAAAAAACCAAGGCTGATTTTGGTTTAGACTTTGGAGGGCACTTCTGTGAATTACAGGGAAGCTGCTCTAAGGTGTACTTCTTTAGAATGTACTTTAACCTGGCTTAAAGAAGTAGTAACTATGCCTCACCAAAGGTCTTAAGATCCTATGGCACTGTGTTCTGTTGCAAACTTACTCCTATAGGAGAATTTGTTTTTCTTTTCGTGTGACTCCTTGGAATCTATTCCAAAGTGATGTTCTTAGCGCTTTAGTTTCTGTCAATTTTTTTTCTCTCCTTATTGTCAATGTCAGCTATTAGTCTCTATAGAAACAATGACAAAAAAGGAAAAAAGTGTTAGCTTTATTACTTTTGAGACTTTGTCCCAGTATACAGAAATAATTCTGACACTCTAATCATATGGAAGGGTTGCTGCTGTCATCCTTGCCCACTGTGACTTCACTAAACCCAAGGAGAGACTCTGGATCTAGATGCTTGAGCACTGATCAGAGCCTCCAGACACTGCTATGAGAACGTGGAGGGCAGGTCTTCATGAAAGTCCCCTAGACCCACTTCTTGCCCAGTGTTAGGAGAAGGCAACATTAGCCTCTCTCACTGCAGCCACTAGACTTGGTCAGTTGCCCTCAGCCGTAGCACTTTGTTGTTTGATGTCCTGTGTCAGAGCACTGAGCTCCACCCTTTTCTGAGAATTATTGCAGCCAGAAATGTGGGCTGAAGGTGGTTCTATTTTTTTTGTATTTTGTGTATCTTTTGTATGATAAAAACTATATTTTGTACTTAACCAGATATATTTTCACCCTAAGTGGGGATATCCTTTGTAAAAAAAAAATAAATAAATAAAGTTTTTTAATGGTAAATGTTTCTCTTGTCTGTGAAATGGCATTGGAAAAGTTTAAAATTAGAAGGTGTTCCTGAAGGAGCTTTCCCTTCTTCACAATTCACATTACTGAAAACCCTATGGAGAAAACACTCCTGACAGAGGTAGTGCAGTTTGGAGGATGAAGAGTGCAGTTTGGGGGATGAAGAGGGAAGGAGTTGGAGCTAGTTTGATCTCCTTTCTGATACACTTAAGAATTGTAGCTGGGGGCTAGGGGTGTGGCTCAGTGATAGAGTGCTTGCCTAGTAAGCCCAAAGCCCAAGGTTCAATCCCCAGCACCACAAATGATCATAAGTAAATAAATATTTAAAAAAAAAGAATTGTAGTTGGGCAGGGGGTGAGGGGGAAGGCACCCCAAATAATGTACGTGCTCATGTAAGCAAATGTAAAAATGATGTTTTTTTAAAAATAAATTTTAAAAGGTTGTAGTTGGATCATGTGGTGGTCTAAGCTAGTTTTCCACATTCATAGTTAATGATTACTAAATTCCTTCAGTTTTAGAGTTCATGAATCCTTGAATACAGGAACCAGGTTTGTGAGGGAATTTTGAGGAAAAAAATGTTAAAGTTCCCTTTTTTATATATAACGCGGTTTTTATCATAGGAATTCTTCCCAATATAAATCTGGTTCACATGCTGACAAGAGTAACCATTCAGATGGTTGATGGACTTCATATAAGAAATGGAGCAAAGAAATCTCTTGCTTTAAGTGGGGTGGGGAGGGGGTTGAACTGGAGAGATGAGTGGGTAAGCTAACCAATGTACAATATAAACCTATTTGAAATTGTCATAACGAATCCCCTTGTACAATGACTGTATCCTAATTTTAAAAACTAAAGAATTTTTTTAAAAAACCAGGGCTTACTTAAAGGTTTTAGGAGTATTAAATTCTTTAGAGGCAGCTATGATTTTTTTAATCTTTGTAATTCCTAGCACAGTTCCAATGCTAGCACATAATAACTCAGAAAGTGTTTGCTGAATATTTAACCCCTCCCTTATCCCTGATGATATGCTTTGACAGTACCTATTTCTTTCTTATAAGGTATTAATTATTGATACCACAATTTCATCACAGATTGAAATGATTTTTATTCCTAAAGGAGTCATAGATAAGAAACTGAGATGGCAAAGGTCAATGGACAGTTCTTTGTGGGTTCTGGCTTATTTAAATCTTTTCAGATAGATGTAGTCTTGGGGGTTGACTTTTCTTTGAACTTGTACGTACAAATTCCAAATAGGCCCCCAGAAATTCTGTATAAGAACAATATGAATTTCACAGAAAAGGAAATTGAAAAAAAGACCCCTTTTTGCTGGGGGCATGACTCAAGTAGTAGAGCGCTTGCCTAGCAGAGTGAAGCCCTGAATTCCAACCCCAGTACTTAAAAAAAAAAACCCAAAACTTTCATTCAATCTTTGCTTTCTTGTTTGTTTATGCTTTCCTCACCTGGCTCTCTCTTTCTTCATTTCCAATGTGCCAGTCTCTAGCTCTCCCTCTTGCTGTGGAGATCTCAGGTAAACTCCCCACTACCACCAGCACTTTCTCACCTGTTCAGAAATTAAAGGTTCCTCCCCTTTAAATTTGTGACCAGTAAACTAGGTCAAAGTTAATGGAAAAGTTTTTTGCTGCAACTTGTTTTCCAGGGATTGGAAGGGTAGAGGAAGGACAAGAGCAGGCAAAAGGGCAAGACAAAGGGATGGAGGGACCATGGAGCGCCTGAGCCTAGTGGTTTGTGTACACAGTCTGGCTACTGGTACTCACATGAGCAGGGACGTGACAGGGTAAGGATAGATAATGTACACTCAAGGTCTCTTAGACATTTGATCCTGGAAGGGCCACAACATATGCATCCCCTCCTGACACCCTTATCTAGCAGTGTCCAGAACTTTCTATAGTGATGGAAATGTTCTGCATATCTGCTGTCCAATACAGTAGCCACTAGCCACATGTGGCTGTTTCACTCTGAAATGTAGTTACTGTGACTTAAGATCTGAAATTTAAATTTTGTCTGACTAATGTAACTTTAAGCAGCTTTGCGTGACTAGCGACTAGCATACTGAGCAGCACAGCAAAATCTGAGGAAGGAAATAGCTACTGTTTCCCTCAAAGGAAACCCATCCCTCTCTTAGAGCACAAAAGGTTCCACTCTTCATTTTGCTTTCTCTACACAATTTCTACCTCCCCCCAGGACATACAGGGTCACTTAAGTACACATCTCTGGGTCCTGGCTCAGTTGTTTCCCCACTTAAACGGAGGATATTTTGAGTCTTCTTTTCCCATGTTCTTCTCACACGCCTTTAAATTTTATTTTTTGGTGGTAATGAGGTTTGAACTGAGGGCCTCATGTTTGCCTCTTGCTTTACTATTTGAGCCTCTCCACCAGCCCTGTTTTGTGTTGAGGATTTTTGAGATAAGTGTCTCACTATTTGTCCAAGCTAGCTTTGAACCAAGATCCTCCTGATCTCTGCCTCCAAGTAGCTAGGATTACAGGTGTGAACCACCCAAGCCCAGCTCATGCCTTTAAATTTTTAAAGAGCTGTTACCTATATGTACATGAGAAGAGATCTAGTTCTGAGTATTATTTATTCATTAGGTGCAATCTAGTATGGAGATCTGAGAAAAATCAGAAAAAAACTAAAGAGAGAAAAAAAGCTTAAGCAAATAAAATTTCTAGTTCGGCATAGAGGTGCATGCCTGTAATACAGCACTCAGGAGTCTAGGCAACATAGTGAGACCCTGTCTCAAAAAGAAAAAGAAAGAGACAGAGAAAAGAAAATGTGTAAGAAAAAGATAGATACTTCAAAAAACAGGGTCCTTGACTACATTTAATACCTCTAACAGTTGGGAAACACAAGTATCTAACTTGAGTTAGGGCATTGGGAGGGAAAAGTGTGGAGTGAGGATGTGACCAAGCATTTGGTCAGAAAAAAAAAATCATAACTGAAGACCTTTGCTTAATTTCTTTCAACAGTCTACGGACCCTTTAATGGCCACAGTCCCTGTCTTAAACACCCTGGTTGGAAGATTTCTGTGCTTCCTCTGTTCTGACTTTCTGTTCACCTCCATTTCCTAAACTGAAAATTCCCTTTCAGAGATGGCTACTGATCCAGGCTTGCAAGTCCTGACTCAATAGATAAGTCTAGAACCTGGAAAAAGTTCCACAACTAGCCTTCCTACACTATTAAAGAGAAATAGCAGTCAAGCATACGGACCTTGGGACCCAACTCTCTAAATTCACATTTTACTTTAAATACTTAATCAGCTGTGTGAACTTGGGCAGCTTGTTTAACTTCTCTGTGCCACAGTTTATTTATAAAAATGGGATAATAATTGTGCCTATCTCAGAAGATTGTTGTGATTAAAGATATATGGGCGAAGCATTAGAGCAATGAATGGTAAGTGCTTGTTATTTAAAATAAAACATGATTTAATTCACTCCTAGGCATGTCCCAAAGATTGTGCTCTCTCTCTCTCTCTCTCTCTCTCTCTCTCTCTCTCAGTTAACACCATTCTTTTTGTACTTCTTGATTCCCTTTCTGTGTTGGGGTAACAACAGAATCTAGGAAGATGTCAGTATGTGGGAGCTGACTGCAGTCTGAAGTTAATGTGGCAGAGGAGAGGTAGCACTCCCCCTGCCCCAGGACAAATGGGTCCTGTGTACCCCGCAGCCTCCCAATGTGTTTCACAGGCCTGTGGAGTAATCACACAGTCACGTTCTGGAAGTTAATTGAATTTCCCTAACTTTTCAGTATACAACTCTAGGGAATAGCATTTGGAGTGATAAACTGAGAATGCTGGTGTCCAATGGGAAACCACAGAGGGATTGCTTATTGTAAGGAATGGTATCTCATTTGATCTTTTCCCTGAAGTGGACTAGACTGCATAGCCCAAAGGTCAGTGTAGGAGCCCACCGATGAGGCCCAGTTTAGCCTATTTGGTCTACTCCTATTCTGTCCTGAACTTTCCTTGGCTGGACCCTTCCCTACTCTTTGCTGGGCCTGTTATGTAAGGAGAAAAGAATGAACAGACTCTGAAGGTTGGAATTTTTCTACCAATTGATTGGCCACCTCCAGGCAACAGAGTGAGAGGAGAGGGAGGAAGACAGCGAGAACACGGGACAGGATCCTGAATTCCACATGCCCTGAGTCCTGGGGTGTCAAGGAAGG